TACCTATTAAGTAATTTCTTAGGTCTCATCTCCCTACCACCCTTTTACTCTTCGAAATCTGCAGTGTCTATTATTTCACACTTTTGTCCATGTATGACTTAGCTCTCACTTATAAGTGACTACATGTGGTATTCATTGTCTATTCCTGAGTTGTTTCACTTAAAGTAATGTCTCTAGTTCTTCTACACATGTAAAGACATGATTTCATTTTTAAATGAAGAATAGTATTTCATTACATATATATAATATATATATTCATTATATATAATATAGATATACACACCCACATATATGTATAATTTTAAACATCCAATCATTCATCGACAGACACTTGATTGGATTACATATCTCTTTGCTATTGTGAATAGTGCTGTCACAAACATATGAGTGCAGGTATCTTTATGATATCATTATTTTTTTTTTCCTTTGAGGAGATGCCAGTAGTGGAATTGCTGGATCAATTACAGTTTTATTTTTGGTTATTTGAGTGGCTGCTATCTGTATTCCATGGGGGCTGCTGTACTCAATTACATTCCATTTAACAGTGCATAAGTGATCCTTTTTCCTGCCCACTGTACTAAGATCTGCTGTTTTTTGACTTTTTAATAATAGCCATTCTGGCTAGGGTAAGATGATGTCTCATTGTGGTTTTAATTTGTATTTCTCTGATGATTAGACAATATTGAGCATTTAAAATATGTTTTTTTGGCTATTTGTATATTCTTTGACAAATATCTATTCATGTCCTTTCCTCACTTTTTAATGGGGCTATTTGGTTTTTGTTGTTGTTGGTTGAAGAATTCCTCGAAATTCTGGATATCAGTCCCTGTTGGATGTAATTTTGGCCTTGCAGGTTGTCGGTTCACTGTTATTACTTCTTTGCTATGGTGACGCTTTAGTTTAATAAAGTCTCATTTATACTTTTGTTTTTGTTACTTTCTTTTGCTTCTTTGAGTTTAGTCATGAATTATTTTGTTTCAGACCAGTGTCCACAAGAGTTTCCCTTATGTTTCTTCTAGTATTTTTATAGCTTTAGGTCTTCCTTTTAAGTTTCCAAACCATTTGTTGATTTTAGGCAGGGAGAGAAATCATTTCATTCTTCTGCATATGGTAACCAATTTTCTAGCACTATTTATTGAAAAGGGTATCCTTTCCCAGTGTATGTTTTTGCTGACTTTCTGAAATGCCAATGGACTTTAAATGTACTTTTTTTCTGGGTTCGTATTTTATGTGTCTATTTTATTCGGTACCATGCTGTTTTGTTAACTGAGATGTCCAATTTTTCCCTTCCCCAGGACCACATTAAAGAATAAGAATTGTCTTGGGCCACACATAAAATACACTACTGATAATTGATGAGCTAACAAAAATCACAAAAACCCTCAGCATAAGAAAGTTTACAAATTTAAAGTTGGGCTGCATTCAAAGCCATCCTGGCTGCATGCAGCCTGCGGCCATGGGCTGAACAAGCTTGTTAAAGCCTTACAGTATAATTGAGGTCAAGAAATGTGACATCTCCAACTTATTCTTTTTTATGTAGGATTGCTTTGGCTATTGAGGCTCTTTTTTGTCCTTATATGAATTTAAGAATTGCTTTTTCTAATTTCTGTGAAAATGATATTGGTATTTTCATAGGGATTGCATTGAATCTATAGATTGCTTTGGGTATTATGGTTGTTTTAATGACATTGATTCTTCCGATCCATGAGCATGCACCTGTGATGTTTTTCATTTGTTTGTATAATCTACAATTTCTTTCATTCGTGCTTTGTAGTTTTCCTTGTAGAGCTTCTTTTGTTCTCTTGGTTAAATATATCTTGATTTGGTTCTCAACTTGATCATTACTAGTTTCCATAGAAATAGTAATTGACTTTTTGTAGGTTAATTTGTATCCTGAAATGTTACTGAATTCACTACCAAGGTCTCAGCTCCAGTGGTTTCTACATTTTTTGCACCACTTAATCCAAAGTCCTCCTTCTGCAGTCTCAGTTGGTGATTTCAAGTAACTATCACATGGAGTAGTTTTAGTGTCTATTTATCACTATATAAACATCTAAGTTATGTATTTTCATTTGCTGATTACAATTTGCCCTTCTAGAATGAAAGTTCATGAGAACAGGGCCTTGCCTGTTGTCTAGTACTTTAATACTCCTGGTATGGGTTGGGTGAATATGGCACAAAAACTTATAAGACAGCCTTTAGACATAAGGCGGTATGGCCAGCATTTGTATTGTTTCAGTTCCTAACAACAAAAATTCTCAGTAGACAATGATCTGATGCTTCATGTGTGTGGTGATACACTTTGATAAAATTTGTACATCCTATGCGAATTTTTCATCAAGTCAATAGAATAGATGGCTAATTCTATCATCATAACTATTAGCACTTATTAGGAATGAGAGAGAAACTGGCCAAGTGATTTGTATAACTAGTTAATTTGGGAAGTACTGTGACAAAACAATATATTTTAATTTTTAAGTAAAGAACATAAGAGTAATATAAATACAAACAAATTTTCACAAAATTTGTCAGGAAATGTTAGTCGACTTTTGATTTTTTTCTTGAGGGACTACAGCCTCAAACTCTGAAAGGACGGAGTAATTGGGGGAAACATTTTGATTTTTCTGTACCTTTCACTAAACTCCCTCTACATGAGGGAGAATGACATAAGCACGGTGAAATAGGGTCAGGAAGTTAGTTCAGACTGGCTCATGATTTAACAATAGGTAGAGGTACCACACAGTCTCTGCATTTCACAGGGGCTGTTGTAGAGTCCTTGATGCTCCACACAGTTGGTTGGGTAAGAGATCTTTGCAGATTCAGGTTTTCCCAAGATAGGCCCCAAGGTCTAGTATTGGGGAGCTTTACTACTGCTTGAACAGCTAATATCTGTGGAGGAGTGCTAAATACAGTTGATAGTTTATTTTGATCCCCATCTGGTTTCCTTTGTTGATTTTTCAACTCATTGAATTCATAGGGAAAAGAATAAAGATAGTGGCTTTCTAGAACCTACAACACCATAATTCCCATTTCTTCTACAAATGAGCAAGCTTTTAGTTTGTGGGTGAAGAAAAAATTAGAGAATATAGAAAATTCTATGTTATTATCATCAAAGAACAACACGAGAATAATGCGTTTTTTAAGAAGTAAAATGATTGAAATGACTTATTCAACTTGAAGTTGTGGCAAGAATGATTCCTGTGGTTTGTATTCTGCTATGTGAATCTGGAGTCCAGCTCAGTAATACGCTGTAATGGCTAGATTCAGCAAAGCATTAATACAAACATTTCTGGGTTGTCAACTATTAAGCAATATACTGTTTTCCTTATTTTCACTAATTCTATACACTCTGCAATGAAATGGTGTAGGGGAAGAGTGTTATTGGCAATTGCTGGCTTATGCTTGTCTAGAAACTGACACTTCATAAACACCAAAGTGCTATTTTATAGGTGCTATGTTTGCACGCAGAAGAAACTGATAATTGTCACTATAATAATTTGATATTCTTTAAAGGGATATGGAAAGTAAAATAGATGTTTTTTTAAAATTTTTACTTTAATTTGACCTCCACTTCAAGCTCCTAGACTCTAATAACTTACTCTGGACTGTATCCAGATTAAACAATAGGCCAGCATACTTTGGATATCTAAAGAACAAATATTAGAGCCTGTTGTAAGTTGGGATTCATAAACTCTACTTGTGTATAAAGACGCTTGAAGAAACACCCTTTCATGCTTAAGTAATGAAAGGCTGGACGTCGATTAAGAGATGATAGAGGAGCAGAAAGTGGTTGCACACACCTTATCTTAGGAAAAAAGCTATGGATTTTTTAAATGTCAAGAATGGAATTTACCAAAATTGCCTAAAATTTTGGAAAGTAAAATTCTTAATACAAAAACCAGTTTTGATTATTTCAGCTTGTGTCATTTCTTATATAACTTTTAACCCTATCATCTTCCGACTATGATATGCAAGATGACTGATAAATAATGATGCAAATTTTTGTTTTTATTTTCAGCTTACAGAATTAGAAGTCAAACCTACCCATTTTGCTTATCTAATCAATTTTCTTTCTTGGTTTAATGAACACTCAAGACTGGCATCTCATCTTAGCCTTTTCCAGCTTAGCTGAACTTAGAGTTTTAGTCATTCATGTAAAGCCTTTCATGCTGGTTTTTTATTTGAAAATGGGTCCCAGCTGCTCTGGCTTTCTTTAATCCCTCCTCCCAGAAAGGTGACAGGTGATGCAGCATCTCCCCCTGGGAGATTGTAATCAAAGCTTTTTCTCCTAGGGGTAGGAAAGTGTGCCAGACCTCATTATCATGCTTACTTCCCCAGCTATTAATGATCAATATATGGTATATATTTTGATGAATAGACAGGCATATAAGAATAGTGTGTGAGTGTATATATATGTGTAAGTAATACATAAAAATATATATATAGAGATGATGGAAATTGTTATTTAATTAGCACTTTTAAAACTTCTCTCAGGTTCTAGCATATAGTAAGGATTCAATAAATATTCAATGAATACTTGAAAATGTGAAGAGATAAAAGTATTACATAGCCAGTACAGGAAATTTTGTAAGTTTAAATATTTCCCCATATTTTGTCTTTAAAATAAGATAGAAAGCTAAGTATTTGACTTATATGTTTTAAATCCTATCAAAGAACTAAAGACTATGAACTCATTTCTAGCTTTTTTATAATTACATAATTTTAGTTTTGAACCTACTCTAAGAACTTTTAATTATTTCCTTTCATCTATATTTATATTATTAAATCATTCACTTTTACATTTAGAAATTTTTGAACCAAAGAATTCATAGGATAGTTTTAATTTGTATACCTTTTATGTATAATATATAAAATTTTGTTCCTGAGTAAAGCTATTATGGACTCTATTCTTATATTCTATATTATGCCAGTGATATATAATAATAATATAGACTCATTTATACTCAGAGTAGATACTTACATTCTTTTTTCTTTTCACACATCAAGGGTAATGTGCTGACATCATAATACAGTTTGAGGGAGGCCAATCTCACAAGAATGTGGAAACCCAATCATCGTGGCTTTATGAACCACAAAAATAGATTCAGGATACTTGTGGTTCTCTTACATAGTTGTATTCCCTTTCACGCTGAAGAGCTTAATCAAATTCTATTCTTGAAGCTTAAATATAACACTGGAGCTGGGCCTCCATACTAAAGAGGTGATTGCGAATGGAATTTATCAAACAGATACAGTAAGTATCCTAAAGCTTTAAATCTACTTCTGAAAAAATGACAAGCAGGGATTTTGCCAGTGCTAATTTGCTTCACTCTATTGATTCAAGCTTTATTGGACATTCTATTGTCTCTTCTAGGAAGGCATATGGAATACAGAACAGTGAAGCCTTATTCAAGATAATGTTATACTCATGAATCACGTCACCTAATACCTGCACTGCTTAGACATGCAGAACTCAAAGCTGCCTTCCTCAAAAATATCTCAGCAAAAGATATCTCTCCCTATATACAGAAGTGGAACTTTTTTTTGTACAGTCACTTCTGCGTACAGTTACAATAGAAAAATTCTCAGATGTACTCCACTACTAAATAGATTCCCGTATCATTGAAAAACATTTTCCAAGTCAACATAGTCTTAAACCTAGCTGCCTTTTTTTCTAACATCTGATTAATAAAAGTCATTCCTTTATTACTTTCTTATTGTTGCTCATCAGTCTTTTAATTGCACACCCTTTGGAGCACACTATTGAGGAGGATAAAAAGCATGCATTTTTTTGTGCAGTAAAGTCACTGTGAATATTATATGTTCAAGGGAGAAGAAGAAATTTTTGAAGACAAATGGAATGGTGATCTCATTTTTCACCCTTATTATAGGCTAAGCATAACAGTCATGGTGTGACTATGACTGTCTGAGCAACAGATTTACATTTCTCCTTTACTACATTTCTTGCCCTGGTTGAATGATGAAAGGTATTTGTACAATTCATTGCTCTTAGAGTTATTTATTTTCTGTGCAGTTAGAAACACCAGATCTGCTTGCATTGAATATCATCTACTAGGTATCAATACAAAGCCTTTTAAATATGGGGATTTGCAGTAAAGGAGGAGGGTATCCACGGTTCCTAGAGTTTAAAGAGATAATCTTATGTATGCAGTTCAAAAATTTACATTTGTTTCTTAACACTGGTATTGATCATGATTTTCATTTTGCAAACTTTAGATAATAAGGTAAAATAAGCTGATGTCTAACTTCTTTGTGTGTTTGAAAATGGTCAAATGAGGAGGTCTGTTGGTTACTGCAGCAGAGTGAATAGAACAGCAGGATAGCACAGAATGAAAAACCAGCTGTTCTCATAGTATCCTCAGTGGTTGAAATAGGTACTACTCTTTTTATCGAAAGAAAATAGGACATCATAAAGTTCATGATATCCACTTAGAGTTATCTATTATTATTCTTAACATCTTAAAATGTAAAATTTGTAAATAGATCACCAAACAGGTGAAACAGTTAAAGCGATTCCATTTTCTTTTTTATTAAAGAGATCAAACCTAAAATAAAAATTAAAAAATAATAATGAAAGAAGAAATAAGCCACTGCTCTTCTTCTTTCTGGGTGAGTCATTTTACCTGAAGAACAGCCTTGCTTTGGTTCTACCTGTTTTGTTAGGTCTTCTCTTACTGATGGAAAATGCTCCCTTGTGTATATGGTGTAACTGTAAACTGAATAAAAACTAAAAGTAATCTGTAGATTTATCTTTAATCAAACCTCTAGAGCAACTTCTTTTGACTAATCTATTTTTACCAGGCAGCACATTTAGGCTAAAAGTAGGGACAGCCAGTGTAAATAACTAAATACTGAAGAGGAGTGGACAACAAGGGAAGAACAATCTGAAATTTACTTAATTGGGTGGTGTATAATTGTGAAAGACAGGCTTTAGGATCACATGGTGTTAGAACCAGGCTACTTAGTTCAACCCACTGATTGTATAGGAGTAAACCCTGATCCCAGACAGAAGAAGGCACCCACTAAATGTAAATGGGCTGGCCACTGGAGGCTGGGGGACACAGGGCACTGCCCTTCTTTCTCGGTCCAGCTCATTGCTGGTAGGAAGCAAAAGACCAGTACTGCCTGGCCTCTTAAGGGAAGGACATTCAGATGTTAATGTAAAATTTTCCAATTTAAACTATTGGCAAGTACATACTCCAAAAATTTTGAAACATTAAGTCATACAATATGTCTGTGGGTTTCTCCCAAGCTTGTAACTTTAAAGAAAACATGTGATGAGTCCATAAAATTCTTCCTTAATAACTATAAACATAAACAAGAGTTTTAAGCAAAAATTATAACTACGGTAACCAAAACAGCATGGTACGGCTACAAAAACAGATACATACATCAATGGAACAGAATAGAGACTCCAAGAAATAATGCACACACCTACAATCATCTGATCTTCAATAAAAATCAGCAATAACAAGCACAAATGGATTCCTGTCCAATAAATGGTACTGGGATAAAATGGTGAGCAATATGCAGCAAGATGAAACTTAATTCAGCCCCTACACTATACACAAAAATCAATTCAAGATGGATTAAAGACTTAAAAATGAAACCCCAAAACTATAAAAACTCTGAAACATAAGGCAGAGAATACCGTCTGACACAGACCCTGGCAAAGATTTCATGATGACACCCAATGCAATTGCAACAAAAAAATCGACAAATGGGACTAATTAAACTAAAGAGCTTCTGCACATAAAATAAACTATCAACAGAGTAAACAGACAACCATAGAATGGGAGAAAATATTTGGTAAACCATGCATCTGACAAAGGTCTAATATCTAGTGCTTATAAGGAACTTAAACAACAAGCAAAAAGCAAATGACCCCAGTAAAAAGCGGCAAAAGATGTGAAATAGACATTTTTTTGAAAGAAGACACATGTGTGGCCAAAAAGCATATGAAAAATGTCACAGCATCACTAATCATTGGAGAAATGCAACCAAAACCACAATGAGATACCATCTCACACCAGTCAGAATAGCTATCAATAACAAGTCCAAAATTAACAGATGCTGGTGAAGTTGCAGAGAAAAGGGAACACTTATACACTGCTGGTGGGAATGTAAGTTAGTTCAGCCATTGTGGAAAGTAGTTTGGCCATTTCTCAAATGATCAAACACCAATAATTTGACTCAGAAATCTCACTCATTGTATATACCCAAGGAAATATAAATCATCCTACTCATAAAAACACATGCACGCATATGTTCATCATAGTCCTGTTCACAGCAACATATAAAATCAACTTCAAATACCCATTAATGGTGGACTGGATAAAGAAAATATGGTATGTATACACCATGTATAATGCAGCCATAAAAAAAAAAAAAAACCAGATTATGTTCTTCACAGTAATGTGGATGGAGCTGGAGGCTATTATTCTAAAATGAATCCAATGCAGGAACAGAAAACCAAGTACTGTATGTTTGTAATTTAAGTGTCCAACATTGAGTACACGTGGACACAAAGAAGAGAGCAACAGACACCAGGGCCTAATTGAGGTGAAGGGTGGGAGAGAAAGAAGAGGATTTAAAAACTACCTGTTGAGCATTGTGCTTATTACATGCTGATGAAGTAATCTGTACACCATACTCCCATGACACATAATTCACCTATATAGCCAAACTCCTCACATAACTCTGAACCTAAATAAAAGTTAAAAAGTTGTCATTCAATGAATAGTTGTTGAGTACTTTCTGGGTAACTTGCAGTTTTATTTGATGCTGTGGTGGATATGGAAGAAATAATTTCACTTACATCTTCCAAAATATTATAATTTGGCTAGAGAGAAAAACCCAAGTATTCACAAAACAACCAGAAGACATAAATGTCAATGACTTGAGATGAGTAATCATGTTGCCTACACTTTAGAAAAAGGAGAGAATGATTCACTAAATGCTCAGTGATTTCCATGGATGCCACATTTAGAGGCATAAACTGTGAAGGTCTAACTTGCTGTGCTGTCTACAATATGTGTGTACACTGCACTCAGTCTGGATACCAAGAGTTGCCCTTTCTTAGTTTCTATGTTTCAGATCCATAAATCAAGAGGTCTAGACCAGATTCAGCTCTCTCACAAATGAGACTCTTTCAGAGGTTTTGTCTCCCTAAACCTGTCTTCTTTCTCTATTATTTAGGAGGCCACTAAGTAACAAAAAGTTCAACCTGAGCTGGCTTAAATTATAAGGATTACTCCTATTACATAACATCCTCATTGGGGATGGCATGTGGGGAGAAGAGAGGTTGTTTGATTCAGCAGATCAGTGATGCTGCTAAAGTCCCATTATTTCACTATGTTGGCGTTTTTTCCAGACCTTCTGTTCTTGCTCCCTCAGACTGGCCTCCTCATTTTCATGATAGTGTCTGCTGAAGGGCGTAGGCTCCTCTGACGTGACATCCAAACTGTGTCTAGAGGAAGAAAGGGACTATTTCTTCTGTGTTCTTGTTCTGTGAGTAAGAAACCTCTCATGGAAGGTCTCTGCATGTACAGTTAAAGTCCAGTGTGGTCAGATGGAATCGACAAACCACTCCTAAGCGCAATATTAGTAGAGTGGAATGATTACCACGGTAAGGCCAGGGCCAGTACCTCAACAGGGCGACTAGTCATGTGATGATTCCACCCCTGCTGTGTGACTGTCTCACATGCCCTGTGATGATATCAATAGAGTAAAAAATACCAGTAATATCTCTTGATCACCAAAACCATGAATTTTTGAAAGGGAAAAAGATGATGGGAAGAACATCAGTAGTGATCAAGCCAGTCACTAAAAACTGTAATTTCGACTTTTAATGATTGCCATTCTAACTGGTGTGAGATGGTATCTCATTGTGGTTTTGATTTGCATTTCTGATGGCCAGTGATGATGAGCATTTTTTCATGTCCGTTGTTGTATGAATGTCTTCTTTAAGAACTGTCTGTTCATAACCTGCCCACTCTTTCGATGGGGTTGTTTGATTTTTTTCTTGTAAATTGTTTGAGTTCTTTGTAGGTCTGGACATAGCCTCGTCAGACATGAGAGACG